GTCAACAACCGGTTAAGCAGGTGGCTGTTGGCGCGCAATTTAAGAACGAACTGCAACTCACCTTGACTAACAGCTGCTTCAGCATATTCTGCCGCTTGAGACAATTATCGATGAGACTGTGAAGGCAACGTCACCGGCCGGTAGACCGCTCGCCGATTTTTCCTCGCCTCGTTTTTACTCGAGCCCTGACGACTTAAACTACAAATCACCCATGTGATCGATGGACGAGCGGTCAACGAAACGACCGGTTTGGAATGATCAACGTCCGAGAACGTCGAACGGGTGAGCCCACGCGACAAACCTGATGACATTCGCACGAGACGAGATGAATAACTCGAACTCCTGCGCTTCCGTTTCAGCGACGCAGCGCAAAACGGTCGACAGGTTCAAGAGAGCGACACATCGCGAGAAACCTCAGCTCATGGCCATAAACTCGTTATTTGAAACTCGCCGCCGGCCAGCTTAAAGCCGATCCGATCGCTTCTGCATTTTGAAATCGATCATAGATATTTACGTCAGGACAGAAACGAGTCGATGGGTACACAACCGAACAATTAGTGACTAATTTGATGGAGAATAAGTCGCTGTTAGCGTCGCCCGTAAAAACCGACCGTAAAGACGCGATGAAGCGGTCGTCGACAAAAACTTTCCTGAACAAAGAAATGAAAGCAAGTAGCACTTAGACCATAAAGGAGAGTGACAGCGAGCGGACTCTTGGTACATTAGTTTCTCTGAGAAACGGTGGATAGAGGCAGATTTACCTAACTTCTAAAATAAGTAATCAAGTTTACGACAATTCTGGGTTCCCACGGATGCGCATGAAGGAATTTGGCGTTGTCAATCGTAAGGACTAGAGCAGAAGTAAAACTGCGGTCTCACCAAATGTATGGCATTTGAAGAGAACTGAGAATCGAGAAGTAAGCACAACTCTAAATCAGCATTATGTTAAGAGTAATATTTCACTGTCACCGTTGCTACGACAAACTTCAATAAAACAACTGTTTTTACTTCTTTGCTAGTTTGCTTCTTTACTGGATTAGATGTAGCAAAATGCGTCGATCAGCAGTGAACCTTTCCTTCCGTCTTCGCTATACTCGGTAGAGCCATCGCTGTTCTACTGGGTTACAAGGAGTCTTAACTCCAGGGTCAGCGTTTCTCTTGAACAAAATTATTGACTGGCGCACGAAACGTCCGTATTCGAGGCAAGGAGAGATACAAAAAATCAGTGCTGAAATACTTAACGCAAAACAGGTCGTGTTCAATGGCATATTCAGATCAGGAGAAGAAATTAAGAACAGGATTATGAATAAAGCAAACATTGACAGAGGCCAAATTTTTTCAAACATCCTAATCTTCTGACTATTAACAGAGTAGCTTTCTCTTGATGCATGATTTGACATGCAAATATTTTAAAAGAGGATAGTATCTGGCCTGAAACGTGTTAGCGCGACAGTAACGTTAACAACCTCTGATAAGCAGTGATATACAACTGATCAAGTCAATAAACTTAACTGTCAAAATTAGCTGCAAGTTTACCTTGGACAACTAATTTCAGTGAAAGCAAGTAAACCATTGAAATAAACAGAAAATTGTCTTAATGCGTTAAGAAAACGCAGCTCAATTTTGAAAGGAAAACAATCATCCATGAAGAAAAAGGTCTCTCATCAGCATGGACCCACAACCGTACTTACTTGTGGTTAAAAAGAGCCCATACAGCCGGTGCTCTGCCATTTTATAAAATCTGAGGCTTAGTCCAACGACGGATTCTGTTGGCAGAATCACATGGGAAGCAACCGAAGGTCAGGCTGAGGACCCCGTGACTTGTGTGCCCTAAATATTTGGCACTATCGGAACAAAGTCCGTTGAGTATGTCCTATTGGATTAAGCTAATGAATCTGCTGTCGCGGAATCCCACAGAAATAACGGTCTATGAAAATGAAGAATGGATAAACAAACTTTAAACTTCAGGCGTAGGTTCGAAACAACATGCTAAGGCGCACAGTCGATCGTGCAGCAGCAGGGATATTGTAAACGGATCATCACGACACTAAAGCGGACCATCGAGCAATATCTACCTTACTGATAGTTACTGCCTTCAAAGATCACTTCATGGTGGTCCAACAGATGTTCAGTAACTTTTCTGGGAGTATCTGAAGTGCGTTGACGTAAGTTTAGCATGCGGATATTGTACATACGTAACAGGCTGTCGGTAAAACAGCAACTACAATGCAAGCAGAATGAAAACTAACTCAGAAGTTATAAAACGGAGAATATCGGACAACTACAGGTTCAAAATCAGTATATCGAGCAGACTGACGAATGAATAATTGTCCAGGCTGGGGCCGGTGACAAGTGAAGGAGCGATGAAACCACAGTTATGTCATGAGAAATTTTTGTTTCGTACGTTACAGTAGCGATTAGAAATTGAATGAATTTGCATTGAATTTGCAGGCCGTATAATGCATCATTGCTGTTTCCCTGAACAGAAAGGAAATGCGAAATCGCTGAAAGGTAGTATTCCACCCTTGGAACTCGCCCTATTCACTGTAGGCGACCTGTTCTATCCATTATAGAGCAAATATCCGTACCTCTCATGATAAGACTGAGAACAGAGGTTCACTGTTCTCGAGTCAAGCTGAAGCCAAATTAAAGTCTAGCCTGATCCCGAACCAAGCTTTAGTTTATGGAACCGAGGTTTGGCATTCGCTTGACATAATGAATAGTCGATTACGTTTAACTGAATCTAAAGACATATGATAAGCCAAAAAGAAGACCAAGGCGCAGCGGTAGAATATCATAATTTTCAAGCGCAGAGCGTTCGCATATAAACGACCATTACCTATCAACTAGCTGAAAAGTACCGATAATAGGCTAACTTTTCACGCTTTTGATCCTGGGCCTGTTGTCGGAGCTATAGCGAGTTTTTCTGATCAGTGATTGTGTTTAAGGCACTAAACACGGCCAAGCAGACAGGGAAAACATTTCATCGCTAACGTGTTTTGCTATCACACCGGTAGCATCATGCCTTGTGATGCGCGCTGACGATGCCATCCATAAAGGTTCCTACCATCTTTGCCTCGCTGCATTTAATATCCTCCGCCACCAAGAAATTAGCTACAGCTGGTGGTAAGAACAAACACAGTCCAGTAGATAAAAAGAAGGGCGCTTGAAACCGCTTTCCAACAGTCGAGCTTGGCAAGCACGCGTAGTGGAAATGTGAGGCTAGCAATTCACCTCCCACAGCCACGAATTTCACTGTCCATGCATTAATTTATATATTGTCCTGTCAATTTACCGGGATACGCAGCGCAATCGTACCGCCCTTCAATCTAATAGCCTAGGTGACCGTTCAAGCAAGTCATAGCTCCATGGCCTTTTACACTGGCAATACACGTGCGCGAAACAACACCTCATTATTGGGTCGAACAAAAACTTGCTCTAACACCAACGAACATACGCCGAACAGTAGGCGTACATAGTAAACACTAACTAACCGCGGTATTATGGTTTAACTAGCATGATCCTAGTTTTCGATACAGCCGGTAAAAATAAGAATCTCCTTTCACTTCTCCGGATTCAAACGGCGTATTCTCACCGTCTATTCGCTTTTAGTAGTCCAGGAGACCTACGCACTGCAGGTACCAAATTACCATGGAGTCGTGACCTCCTTAAACGGTCTCCTAGGCTACTAGAAATAAGAATACAGTGCGCATAAGTCAGTAAAGCCAGAGAATTGACAGGAGAATATTCTTGTTATTCATTCTTAGCGACGGTATCCAAAACCAACAGTTTCACTGCAAGCCCATCATGTATCGGTTGAGTTTTACTACAGTCTGCACGGCATGAATTCACATCCTGGAAATTGGGATATGCCATACACTAGCCACATACCATATCAAAGAAGGAATCAAAAATTGTGGGGGCCACTGACGGTTACTGACGTTCCTCAAAGCAAACGGTTAAATTAATTGATGATCCTATTTTTCGCCGCAAGTAATTCCAAAACGGTCTACAGCCGCTGAGTGAAATCATCGCTTGAATCAGGTCATGTA